GTTCACTCACTGTTTACGGACGTAGACCGATATCAAGCTATACATAAGACTATAAAAGAAGAATGTCATAGCTTCGAAATAATCTCCTCCGGACTGCTTCCAGTTTTATGAAGTTGTATAACCCGATCCGAATAACGCATATCGAAAAGAGATTTCGAAGTGAGAGGAGGCTCATTGATGACCTCAGCCCTCCACGAGACATAAGGCTTTAGCTCACATTTGTCCAGATTATCCGGAACGACAAATTCCACTCGCATTTCTGGAATCTCCTGAACCCTTCCATTTATAAGGCAGGACGTTGGAGGTTCTCTGAAGATTAAGACAATGATCTCACTGAGCGTACCTCGGAATCCAGGGATACTTGGCCCTTTGGCGGCTTTTGCAAACGTCGAGCAACCATTTGTATCGCTGGACATATGCAACCTTTTGTCTAGAGCATACAGAAGTTGAAGAAATCCCTCTGCACAAATGAACAACGCCGCCCAACCTAATAATCATCCCGACGAAGGCCCTCAACCAACTCCGTTACAGGACCCGCCCTTGGCCTTGTGGTGTTTTTTCCAAGTTAGTTCTGAGAATAAACTATCTCATTCTGACATAAAAACAATTGAAATTTGTATAAAAATTGAGTTTACGTAAATTTTTAATAGTTAAAATCCACATTAGCTGCTTTTACACTATAAATCGCGCTACCACTCCGTCGGTGTCGTAGGATATCAAGACGCTCTTTTAGTTTGTGAAGGCGTAGCTCTGCATCTATAAACTATGAGGGAGGTCAGCTTGCTCAGCAGAAACCATATGCCAAAAAAGTGACCACCAACCGTGCAAGCAGCCATCACTTATCTTACAAATGATCAACTGCATGGTCACAAATCCTGCGCATCAAATTAGGATACAATCGTTTTGACATGGTCCAAAATATCCATTGTACAACCTTTTGCTCACTAATTTAAATCATTACACGCAGTCTGCCCCTTATCATCATTCTTAAGATTCTAAGAAGTCGATAACGCCGCTACGAATGTACTTTCCTTCACTATCTTCCTAGGTACCAAATGCCAACTTTAAATTGTCTCAAAATGGTGTTTATTTGCAGGCTTTAAAATAATACGAGCTATACGCCTCCACACTCCGAGTATAGACTCTACATCACCTTGTTCTGCATCCCTCTTGGCAGGCCTCTCAAGGGTCTGTTGTTCCCGTGACCTTTAGTTGGATGCGGAGGTCCAAAATGGTTCTGAATCAACGGGTTGCTCTTATCATCAAAAACGACAATCGGCTCCCGTTACTGCCAGACGATCTACATTCTACATTTAAATAGTTC